CGGCACCCGGCGCGTGCAGGCCAGCGGCCTCTTCGGCCAGTACCTGCTCACGCCGGCCGCCGACTCGCTCTTCATCCTGGACGGCCGGCTGGGCAAGCTGAACTGCGAGATCACCGACGTGGCCCAGGGCAACACGCTGGTGTGGGTGGGCGAGGCCTAGCCGGCCGCGCGGTGTGCCCCGAGCGGGCGGCGCGGCTGCCAAAGACGCCTGCAGGGACGCGGGCTTAGACACTGTAAGGAGCGTCCAGTGAGAATGACAGAGCGCAGAAGAGTCTAGTGCGCAGTCACGCTGTAAACCAGTAAAGTAGTACCCTAAATGCTTTCAAAAGTGACTCACCTGCAGGGAATTTCGGATGACGTAAGCATCACTTACTGTTGAGGGGCGTGTCTAATTTGTACTCTGGTACACTTAAACCAGAAATGAAAGGTAGTGTGGAAATCTAAAACGCTTAATTCAAAAGATCCTGTCCTGTCCACTGTTTATAATCTTTTGTGCCTTGAAGGGAATGTCACAGAAGGGAAAGGAAGCCGAGGACCTGCATAGTGAGCACCCTCATCGCTATAATCTGTTGTCGTTTGGAACCGCTTAATCTCTCTCGCGTCAACCTGCCTTTAGTCATCTGTCCGGCCCTCTGTGAAATCTCACTCGAAGGCACATGCTGGCCCGAGGTTGCACACGGGTGACAGACCCTATCTGACATGTCCTCTGTAACTGCAGCATGCTATAGACAATGGAGACGCAGGGAGGAAAAATAAATAGGGTAAAAATGTTCACGGTGTGTGAACCACTGTTTGCTTTCGGTCCCTGGGTGCACTGTATTTTTAATGCTATTGTGTCCGGGATTCCAGCCGCGTAGAGATGCCTCCTTCACTGTCAGCTGAATAGATTCTCTTCATGTAGCCCCGCTTTCCACAGTCAGGAACCTTCAGTTCTAAAAAAGAAACATCAACTGTGTCTGCTTAAATAATTCAAACGTGGGGAAATTAAGATCAGTGAGAGAAAGCCCAACAAGGGAGCTCGTGCTGGGGAGGATTAGTGATAGGATTTAGGAACAGGGGGCAGCCCCATGATGGTGAACGAAGACGTACTTCTCCCTTGCTTTTCCTATTTAAATGTAAGGCATGGAAACACTTCGTTCTCAATAATTTCCATCAGTGATTTCTTCTATTCAACTTCTCCCTAATCCTAAAACTATCCTCTCACTGTATGCCGTAGTTGGAAACCTAACTAATCCTCTTGTTGGAGACACTGCAGAGAAGTACAAAGTACTACTTCTTCCATTTTTTTTAAAGGAAAAGGGAAGGGAGAAGGCTATAATAGATTAACATTAGAGAACTGGTTTACTGAAATAAGCAGATAATTATCCAGGCTTCAAGTAATAGCTTACATGTTTTAAGATTTTTTTACTTCTTCTAATTGTTACTAAGAATGATAATGGGTTGTTGAAATGGCCTCCATTTATTGAAGGTAATCCTATAAGGTCTTTTTTAGATACAAATTTTATTCATTTGAACTGTGTAAAACTGCATAGAAACCTGCAATTTTATAGTATGCAATATCTTATGTGTACATAGCATCCTGAGCTGTGATGCAGTGATTTCTCCTTAGCTTCAGGAAACATGAAAGATAAATTTAACAGACAGCGAAGATCAGCTTATCTTTCTATTTATTGAATCTGCTTTACTTTCTAGTAATATTCTCCTGTGCAAACATGAACCAGAGCAGGTGTCTGTGACTTCATGATTTAACCCGTGTCTGCTGCACACGTCCTTCCTTCATGACTTACGCCATGTGGCTGCTCTGTCTGTAGATATTGCTTGATAAAAGAATAAACCTCTTATGTTTTAACTCCCGTGCATTCAGTCAGTGATTTTGTGTGCATTGTGTTCTTCTCCATGATTCTAACCTGACCTGTTATTCTGAAAGTGATGTGATGAAATAGAAGCAGAGGAAAAGTAAAGCAAACGTTTTCTCTTTATCCGAAATCTGCATCTTTAATGCTCACAGAGAGGCACACATCCTGTGGTGTCTATTTCTTTAGAATTTATTTATTAAGAGAACACCAGAATAGAATATGAAAAATATACTCCATATCCTTATGCATGGCATGACACACCGAGGACTTTTTGTTGCTGTTTTATCTCCTTTCAATGCTTAGGACTGGACAGAGCCTCATTGGCTGGGCAGCTACCCTTAGCCACATCCTTAGCCTGAGCCAGTGTACTGAGAAGGAGTAGCAGCTAAATGCTGGCTTGGGACCTAAGCAGATGCAGCACTCATGCTAGTTATTTCTGAAGTGGGTGTCTGCTTCTTCCAAGGTACAGTAAAGGTAAGAGGCAGCGCCGGGGGTTGCCTCACTGGGTGAAGTGTGTTGCACACAGTTATCAATAATGTACACACGTGTGCAAAGCCAAAGTGAAGAAAAACCTGTGTCAAGTGAGGAGCTGCCGGGTTAACGGAGCTGTAACGACTGTGAGCAGATGTGTAAGGGACAGGAGGAAAAATGGATCTGTAACCGTGAGAGGCAGGAAGTGAGGAAAGGGGGCAAGAAGGAGGGAGCAAGCTTCGGGCGGGGGCTCGGGGGAAGCGAGCGGCGGCGGGAAAGAAGTGGATGTGGACGTAGGTGGCGCAGAAACAGGTTATGGGCGGGGCAGGAGGAGAGGCTGCAGCCAGCTCACCGATGTGAATTTAAGCAGAGCCCTCAAAGTACTTTTTTAAGTGTCAGTAAAAACAGCATTTTAAAACTTTCTATCGTTTAATGGGTTGAAAATGTAACTGAATAAAGAAATTAGAGGGAAAGGTAAGGGACAGCTACTGCAAGAGTGTAAGTTTCTGGTCTTTAATATAAGACAGTTAAATTGCAAGTGCGTATTAAAAAGTAGGACCAGTGAAGGAACTGTATTCCAAACGGTAACTAAATAAGGGGAGACAACAATGACAGATCCCACGTTTAACACGACTGATGGCAACAAGGTAGCCACGCGGGGACCAGACTGAGGCGAGAGGCCCAGGGTTCAAATAAAATGTAAGTTAAATTACAACAAAGGATGCAACTTCGGAGATGCTACAGCACGCACAGCGAATCAATGTAATTTTCAAGAGGCATTCCACCATCTGTTTAATTACATCAGTGTGAATTTGAAACACTGAAAAAACTGCAATTTGAGACCTTATCACCTTTCAGACTCCTTCTGAGAAGTTCTCAGAATTTTCTTTTATGAAATAAACTAATTCCGCTGAATTTTACATCCACTAAGTTTACACTATGTTTAATCATATCTGACAACTTATCATATTACACAAACTGATAAAGTGCGAACAATCTAAGGAACACTTTTCCAGTTCGTGGAAACCGTATAACTCTATCATAAGATGAAACCCAGTGTTACAGCCCCAAGAACTTGAAAGGGACCGCCTCTAATGTCACTGGTCCTTACGCCTACCATTTAGATGTCCCTGTGTGAAAGGATGAATAAACATCCACCAAGAGACTATTTTCTCTTCTCTTCCTACCTTACTGTGACTAATACCATTTACCTCTCTTGACAGACTTATAGACAGAAATACCACATGGAAGTCATGCCGTATAAATTCCCACCAACTGTGTTAAGTCAGGGTACATGTCCTCACCTTTCTATAAGAAAACTATGTCCATATGACAAGGTCTTTGTTTGCATGAAGTAAATTACACAGTAGTTTAAGTAAATACAAAAAGATAACTTCAATAATATTCAACAGTAAATGGATGTGTTTCTGGCATTTAATGGGTATGATATATAGCCATCTTATAGTAATTTACATCTAAGTTGACAAAATAGAAATTTTAATAATCATTTGTTTACTACAGTGTAGTAATGACAAAATTCTCAATGTTTTGGGATGTATTCAAGTTCAGAATTAAATTTTTCTTTCAGTATAAGTTAGAAATTAGAAATTTCTTTCAGTATAAGTTAGAAATTGAGAAAGAATGCACAGAGATCTTAAATGTGTAACACATTCTGCTTAAATGTTTGGTAAATGGTTTAAAAATCATCTCCAAATTCACGTTTTGACATTTCAGAAAAACATTTTGGGGTACTGGGAATCAAACACAGGACCTCACACTTGAAAGGTAGGCTTAAAAATAAAAAACATTTTAACAAAAGCCAACATCATCTCAAACAATATATTGCCATTTTAACAAGAAAAAATGTACTTGGTATTCATATGTATAATTTTTTTCATATCCATGAAAAGTACAATGTTCCTTTATACCTGAACTCATAAACTTATTGAAAGTGACAAAGTCCATGCAAAAACTCTTATGGACAGTTAAGGCAGATACTTTAAAATTGATGGATATTGAAATTGTCAAACACTGATTCATTCTGTGATGCTTCTACTCACGTTTGCTTTCAAAGCAGTTTTAGTCTCAATTCAGTTTCCACAATTTGTTCAGAACTACTAGCAAAGAAGAACAAACAATCCGTTTGCTCTTGTGAGTAAAGCATAACCACTTTCGATCAGCAAACATCATTTTAACCCTAATTATTCTTTGGGGTAATAATTATTTTAATTTGAACAAAGTGAGTATATTAATCTGATTAAAATGCAAACATATACCATGTTAATGTGGTATTGTTTGTGAATGTTGATTCCTGATAGAAATGTCACATTTTGTATATTTTATAGCAATTAAATACTTCACTGGTTGTGTGTGTGTGTGTTTTAATTTGTACATATTCAGAAGTGAAAACATAACTGATCATACTAGATTATTTAGTTTTAACACTTAACCAAAGTTCATTACTGTTTTAGAATGGTTATCACATCTTGAAACATAATATTATTTTACATTAATAGGTATTAAAATATAAGATCCTTGTGTAAGTTTAAATACTGATTCTAGATCACAAAATCTCACATTTATTAGAGTGCAGACAAGCATAAAATTATAAACTACAGGGGCTGGGGATTTAGCTCAGTGGCACAGCGCCTGCCTGGCAAGAGCAACATCATGAGTTTGATTCCTGGTACCGGAAAAAAAAAAATTATAAACTACAGAGCACTAAGGAGAAATCAAAGAAACACAAAAATGAATCTTAACACTGGAGACCCTAATAGATCAAATAATTTAAGGATTATAATTATATGCAAATCAGAAAAATGTAAGCTAAACTGTAATAAATACTTATACATATGTATATATGTACAAAAACCACTCCTATAGTTTTCAAAATTACTAGTACATATTTTAAATCAACTACAATAAAGAACCATAATGTGCTAAAAGATCTCAATTTATTAAAATAAAGTGAGAAATTAAAAATCAATATGTATGAGAAATAAATAAGCAATACATTAAAATATCACAAATAGCAAGTTTCAAAGAAGAAATAAAATTAAGATCTGTACAACCTACTTATACTCCAGATCATAACAAAGATAAAAACGATATGCTTCAAAAATAACATGGAGTTTATCACATTGCTTAGAGAGTAGAAGATTCTTCTAATTCCAAAAATAGAAATCCCTACCCTGACAAAAAGAAGCTGGAAAATCCACAAAATTATGATTTTACTTGAGCCTGTCAGAGAGTTGGGCTTGCAGTTCTCTAACAAGTAAACTAATTTCCAGTGAGGGTCTTTGGTGTGGCCAGGAGGAAGGAGGCTGCCTGGAGACGCAGCGAGGAGGCAGCTCGGGCTTTCAACGAGGTGGAAGGCTGCACCTGGGCTGCCTCCCTGGAGAGGCAGAGACCCCGGGACTGCGCAACAGACCTTCACTGCGGCTACAGTGGAAGACCAGAGAGGCAGGAAGCGTGCAGGGAGCGTGGGCGCCCTTAGTGGATGCGCAAGCAGGGCCCAGCTGGTGTGGGGAGACAGGTCTCACCCTCACCCCGATTCCACCGCCTGAAACGCACAAGTGATTGCGGCCAATAGAGCTGGTCAAGAGCCCCTGCTTCTGGGAGTGGAAGGAACTCGCCTTGCCTCCGAGGGCGGAGCAGTGTCGTCCCGGTGAGTCATCAAGACACAGGTAGGATGCTGCTGACCAGAGGACAGAGGCCAGGAGCGGACCTGAGGCCGGGTCAGGGGCGGTGCCAGAGACAGAGTCAGAGACAGGTGCCCTTCTCAGAGCCGCTGTGCCCCTGGGGCCGCAGACCATCGCCCCCAGCTGCAGCCCTGGGCAGTTTAGTGCTGCTTCCCACAGCGCATCCGCTCCACCCCTCAGTCCTCCTGTCAGTCTTTCCTGCAGCTCCTTTAAACAGTGTATTTCCATCTCGTTCTTCGGCTTCACCTGGCTAGAGCGGCATTATGATTTGATTTTTAATCCATTTAGGTTAAATCCATCCATCACTGCTGGAGCTGAACTTACCATCTTCTGTGTCATTTTTGTATAGGTCTCATGTGTTTTCATTCCTAGTTTTTATTTACTGCTTCTTTTTAAATTGAATGAATAATTTCCAGGATATAATTTGAATTCCTACAATGATGTTTTCATCTTCTAAAGATTACGTCTGTAGTTGTGGCACTAGGGCTTACCGTATAAACCTTAACTTCTCAGAATCGAATCTCTACTAATGTAATTCTAGTGAGCCACAGAAACGTCCTCCCTATAACTACCCGCTCTCCCCTTCTTTTCTGCTATTCTTTGAAATGCATAATAATTATAACGTTATATCATTTTATATCTTGCAAAACAGAAAGAATTAGAATGAGCCTATATTTATGTTGTTGCAAAAATCTTATTTACCATTTCTGGGTCTTTTTATAGGTTCCCGTTAATTTAAGGTTACCGTTCCTCATCTCAATTCAGCACAGCTGTTACTCATCTCCTTTTTCTTTTTATTACCAAATATATTGCACAACTAC